GGTCGATAGGGTTTGGAAGGGTACAAATTGAGTGAGCATAACGCGGCACCAAAGAAGGCGATCTCAGCAAAGCAAATGAGCTCTACTGAGTTCTAGTTGTTGAACACTAAGTTGCCAAATAGAGACTGATCAGAGTTCCCATCATTTTCCTCTTAACCTGTGAGAGAGATGGTGATTTCGTTTTTTTTCAGGTTTGTTAGTGAAAGTGGTACCTCTGCGGATAACCCATTACTGGGCTACGCAAAGTGTGAAGCAGTTGGTGACCAGCCGTCGAAGACGATTCTCGTTCTCTTTCCTGACACTGATGAAAACAACGAGAATATTCCTCGAATTAAGGTAAAGATGCACATTTTATGGTTGTTTCTGGAAGCTAGAGGCTTCTCAGGACGGGCTGATGGTATGGACCGGAAGTTCCTAAAATGGGAAGACCGATATATTCTTCGTGGACCCACGGACTGAAATTGAACGCTGACGGTTACATCTGACAGCTCGAGTGTCCTGCTTTCATTTCGTCGCCTGTACAGTCTTGGAAACTTCGTACTGCTACAGGATTGGGTGCCAGCACATGGAATCGAAGGTCTTTGGAAAAACTCTCGCCTACTTGGAATCGAAGGAAGAAGACGGACGGAAGAAGACTGAATATCAAAGTGTGTCACCTGACCTAAACCTTCTGGATTTGGGAGGAGCTCGCAAGGTGTTCTACAGTGGCGGAGACAACGAGCTCGCTGAACTCAGGCACCGAATCACGGTCGCATGGCAGAATCTCTCGAAGGCGTTCGTCCAGAGCTGTGGCGGAGTTTCGTGATCGTGTACAATGTGTTGTTTAAATCTATTCAAATGATGGAGCAAATTCCAATCAGATTCAATAAAGTTCAGCTTATTTCACTTTGAAACTCGAGAGAAGAAGCGATTTTTTTCGCCTCCCCTGTATTCATCTAATGTCGTGAAGAGCAAAGGCTTTCCAAGGGTTTCTGACTCTTCGACTTCGTTTTCGTTATTTTCCTCGCTATATGACACCCCTGCTACCACTTTGGACTGATCATGAGACCATTTTGAACCAGATTATTGTGCCTTATACCTTTGAGGTCGACATCAAAGCAAAAATAGATGCCTTTGTGCGTTTTCAGAGCATTTTCCAATAAAAATTTCAAATGAGCATGCTAGAGCACTGCTACTTTTCCATCCACCACTTCTTAGTCTCTCATACACCACGTGCCGATCCTTGTTTCAATCACCTGTTAATCATTAAATCTTCCAAATACTCTTAAAGCTAATAGTTTGTTACTTCAGATTTCGGTGCAACCTTCTACAAAAGTTGGGGACGTCATCGGCTATTGCCTTTATCGTTTGTATGCAGATTTCGATAAGACCGTAAGGTAGGAAATAACAAGTTTGTTTTGAGTTACTACTATGCATTTCTGATATATTCTTTTTATAGTGGGAGTGTGGACGATTATCAATTGTTGATGGCTGATGAGAGTGGGGAAATCGAGTCTGACCTCCCACCATTAGACAGAGGCAGATCTATTGGCGATCTCGGTTTCACTGTGCTTGCGCTCGTTTCGAAGCGCAGAAAAATGGACAGTGATATGAAATCTACCTACAGGATTGTTGTGTAAGTCGTTTAGTAAAGTTGGTGGAGTATTGATGCTATCGATCGAGCCTCTTCAAGAAGTTTCCGTTATTGGCCGTTCCTAGGCACTGCCAGTTGAAAGAGTCTTCTGAGGTTTCAGTGCCTAATGCTGATAAGATTTATTCTTCTTTTCAGGTATCTCCCGACTGGGCAGAATTTCATTTTCGAACTTGAAAACCTTGACCGTTCTCTCGAATGGTTGCGCGATGAAGCTGTGAAGAGAAAACAAGGACAGGATTCTAGTCCAAGGATAGGCATGATGCCGGGTACGGGTTTACATGTCCTTGAAGAGTAAATGTACACCACTTTTGCGGATCCTGATCCTTGCTGCGCGAGGTGAATGGGTCAATACTGCTAGCTTAGCGTACCACTTTCTGCGCATCAAAAAAGGAGCTTCCGGTAGTGATCCTCGGATGTCTTCGTCGCTGTACTCTGCCTGCACCGGCAACCCACCTAGCTAAATGCGCTGCCTGTCTGCGCCTTCACCTCAATTCCTGTTGTTATCTTCCTGCTGGCCTGTGTGTCTGCTGGTGGGATTTTGCCCAATCAACCCCTGTACTTGGCATTCATGAGGTAGCTCGGGAGGATTGGAGACGACAGCCGGTACCCCTACTTCCCCCTAGTCTCATTCCCATGCAGTTTTGACTAGGGAAAGTGGCAGGCTACTGCGGACCATTTACCCCTCATATAAACAGGACCGTCCACCGGGTGAGGTGATTATCAGTTTGTCTTTAGAAGATTATGCGGCGACAGTTCGGCGATGTGGGGGTAGGGCCATGATCGCACTTTACATTGCTTCCACCAGTTTCCGGTTTACAAGTCTGCACTCTTGCACATCTGTGAACTCCTTGTGAGATCGGAGCGCTAAAGCTGGACCCAAGCAACCGTGGTAAAAGCTTGTCGGCTCAACGTTCAGGAAAAGTGCTCCCTGACACAAAAAGGACCGACACGTCTATGGAAATTTGCAAAAGTGCACGTCTCTCCTCGTCCCGCCCCCCCCCCCCTGTTGCTCCAGATATGCTAATCCTTTGTTTCGCCCGCCATAATACATTCCTCGATAGAAAGCATGGAACCAAAATTGTGAGGTCTCTGATAGCCTCTTCAGAGATGGAGTATGAGTTAGAAGACGTGAACGTTTTTGGGAAACCGGTGAATCTTCAACAGTCGATCGCAAACACCGGCTGTTACGAATTCGTTCTAGTGAGAAAATACAGTAAGTTTTCACTAGGAATCCATTATAAATCGCCTCCCGTCATTCACTGAACAGAGGCTTTTCCACAGGTTCCCGCGGCGAATTCCATCCTCGAGGGACTATGTTCCGCCAAAAAAGTACAGCTTTGTTAACACCAATTTCTCGAACACCGTCCAGTCCAGTGTTTGGTTAGTTCCACTTGAAGAACGCTATTGACGCTTCTGTTAATGCTGCATTTTAGATTTCTCCAATCCTCGCGTAAGTCCTGCCAATACTCCTTGTACCCCAACTGGAGGCATTTCTCCATTTGTATTTTCTGATGACGACGAAGCGATTATGACATTCCGGGTAAATCGACTTCATCGAGTGAAGCGCAATTGGCCAGGAATTATGTGTAAGTCTTCCTAACTAACTTACTCAAAATGCTTCTATTCATTTCGACTCACTAGCATGTTCGCTCAGACTCAGTGGACTTCTGAAGCGCTAAATTCGAATTGGTTCAATCTGCGCCTAGTTGGCTGAACGCGTGTCCTAATACGATGAAATGCTTAAGAAATGTTCAGCTACCACCTCACTCTTTGACTGGCCGCAAGCATCCACGCTGAGCGAGTTTTCGACGCGACTTTCTCTCCTAGACAGGATTTGGCTTCAACCTGTTGTCTCTGGGGGAGCTGACCTCAGCTGGAATGCGATATCACATTCGCCTTAGCTCAAAACTTCCTTGCGCCCGCGAGGCGACAAGGTTTTGGGCTATTTTGGCGCCAGCGCCTGTAGCACGGGCGCCAAGAGCTTTTCGGGCCTAGCGGATATGATATTCGTGTTCAGGAGGTCAGACTACCCTTAGGAACAAGTTTTCAGCGAGCGGGCTGATTTCGGGTATTCTTGGCGCGCGGCGGCCGGTTGGTGTGGCACATGGGGGGAGAGAGACAAGTTTCGTGATGAGGGCAGAAATGTGACTATATATTCAGATAGTCAAAAAGTCAAACACACTCACGCGAATGGCCCGCCTTGGTGAGCTGCCAGCTCCCCGACGCCTTCACGGAATAAATTTTCAGCCAATTCTGCCAACGCATAAAAAAGTCGGTCAAAAACTGTTGTTTCTGGAAGATTAGGGTAGTAAAGGGTAAATAGTGCCAAATGTTCACTGAAGCGCTTGGTCACTTCTGTCTAGAAGGACAGTGGTGCCATTCAGAACTGTAGCCAGCACTTCTCATGTGGAACCTAGAGGTGTTAATTTACCTACCATTTGGTCAAAGGGCAGTAGAAACAGTTGATAACACTCAATAGCCAGGCCCGGGCTTTCGCGTCGAGAAAGAATGGTACATAGACCGCAGGAACAGGGATCGGATAGTCAACTGTAGGCCGAAGATCTTTGGGCAGGCCAAGGCGTGATCTATGCTGTGGAGGAAATGGAAACATTGCAGTTTTGAGTAAGTTTTTGGAGGACTACTAGCTATCTTCTGCAGACGCCTGGACCATTTCATAGCCTTGACAGTAGTGCCAGTCTCCAAATTTTCTTAGGTCATTTCTTCCTTGACATTCGAGGCGCTATAATTTATTGAATCCTGATCGGAACTTTTTACTACCGTAATAAAGAGCATACCCCAGCCTTCTGGACCACCGCCATCGAGAGATTCTGCCACGCAACCGTGGTTCGGTGCCTGAGTTCAGCGAGATCGTTGATTTCTCCGCCACTGTAGACCACCCTATTGAACTCCGCCCGAACCAGGTAATTGATGGGGTTCAGGTCAGGTGACCCGCTTTGATCTTCTTCAGGAACTCAACGCCCTTCCATTCCAAGTAGGCGAGAGTTTTTCCAACGCCCTTCGATTCCATGTGGTGTCCTGTAGCAGTACAAAGTTTCCAAGAAGGTACGGGCGACGACATGTGGGGAGGATATTCTTCTCGAGTTGCTCGATGTAACCGCCAGCGCTCACCTTCAGTCCGGGGTCCACGAAGAAAATATCGGTCTTTCCATTCCAGGTACGTCCGGTCCATACCATCAACCCGCGCCTTGGCGACTGTGGTGAAGATGATGTCCTAGCGACGTTGTCGGAGCTGCTCGATGTTGGAGGTCTTCCAGATCAAGAGTACTGGTCTCCAGGTAGCTATCCATGGGTGACTCCACACTAGAAGTTTCGCAGCTGTTTGGAGGTGACATGAATTCCAAAGGTCTTCTCCAGTCAGGCTGCGACTGGAGATGACTTCATATTTTGGTGTACATGAAGGTGATGGGCGAGAGCCAGCTCCTGCTTATGAGGAACATCTTGGGTATCTTCCGCCCTGGTACTCGTATCCACGTCCTCTGTCTGGGCTGCGAAAACTTTGCTGATATGTGACTCGGTCGAAGTGTCTTTTTTTGCCCCCCCCCCCCCATAGATATCGATCCGCGGAACGCTAGTGAACGCTGGGAGACGCCAGGTCGACATGTACACTTCCGTATCCCTCGAGACTCTGGCAGATGCTGGTGAACGCTGTCGTGAAGTATGAACGCAGCCTCACAGGTCCTTACACTGAGAACTTTCTTGTCCGTCAGCAGCCTTTAATCTCCTTTATTGCCTATTTTCATTAGACAGTGATTCGTGCGGGACTATGTTAGGCTATGGGACCCAAATTTCAGTCACCATCCTTGTTAATCGTTTCCGTGCGGACGGCGATGGCGACATCGTCCGATTGGATGGATATATGTGGAACTCTCCGGAAAAATATTTCATGAAAACCAAGAGCAGAAAGAAACGAGGATAGCTTGGCTGTACACAAGTATCACGGTCATTTTGTACTGCATTCTGAGTTCACGAATGATCTTATACTGGAATTTGAAACGACTGTGTCAACGTGTTACGGTGCAGTCCTGAGCTGCAACTCCTGTCGATAGAGATTGTACAGCTTCTATAGCGCTACTGAATAGAAAGCTTACAGTTTCCCTGCCACTCTTGCAAGAACTTGCAGTTCAGAATGGACGGCATATGGAAAAGCAAGTAGCCTGAGGGAATACGTAATTGCTCTTCGGAGAGATGGAGTTCTTCTGTACTCATGCTCACCAGGGAAGTCCGCCAACTTACCATGGAACTTTGAATGGAGACCGGGTAGATCGATAGAGTCTATAAGGTTATTTACAGATATAAAAAATCTGCAACCTGCATTTCACAAGCAACTTATTAGCAGGTAAAGTTTATAATGGTGCAGTAGGGTGGAGGCTTGGTGGTGGGCTGTGAAGCATAAGCGAGGAATGCGTACGTCGAATCGAGTTGTCGAACGTAGAATGAACCACCACGACTCGATTCGACGTACGCAATTCCTCGCTTATGCTTCACAGCCCACCACCAAGCCTCCTCTCTACTGCACCATTACAAACTTTACCTGCTAATAAGTTGCTTGTGAAATGCAGGTTGCAGATTTTTTATATCTGTAAATAACCTTACAATCTCTATCGATCTACCCAGTCTCCATTCAAAGTTCCATGGTAAGTTGGCGGACTTCCCTGGTGAGCGGAAGTTTGACATATGTAGGTATTG